AGACCCCCCTACCCCCCCTTCTGTTCCTCCATGTTAGGGGCCCGTGCACTTCTCTGCGGTTCTTTATGTTGCAGGTTAATGTGCGTTGTGTTACTGTAGTCCATTCTTAAAGGGCGAGCTCCTAACACACCTTACTGTGTCTAAAAAACACATGACCCTTTTATTCTATTGCAGTGCATCATGACGCAGTACCGTTGCACTGTTGCAGCTACAAAGCAGGTGCCTTGGGGTGCCATTCAGATTACAGCAACAAGACGGAAATGTGAATGGGTCCTCAGTCTCAAATATACTTCAATTATAGATGAATACATACTGACCTGCCAGAAATCCAGTGAGATTCTAACCTCCTGCTTGCTGACAATGGTGCCTTTTTGCTGCATTAATATCCAAAGCGGTGTAGTCAGCCCTGCCCAGTTCTATTTGCTGGAGTACAGAACCCCCTCTCCCCCCTTTATGCTATGGAGATTAGGAGATGGAGTTCTGTAGTCCAGCAAATAGAACTGGGCAAGCCTGACAACACTGCTTGCGATTTCACTGTGGCACAGGTGGCGTTGTCACCTCAAACAGGAACAGCCAACGCATTTTAGGAGCTCAAAAGTTTTAGCAGATGCACTGACCCTGGTTTTGCCTAATGTATACACAGCAATCAACCCCCGGTGACTGGGCCGTCCCTGAGGACTTATAATCACTCATTATACTTAAGCCTTCAAGAAGGGGGAGGCCTTTTGAGCCCGCGAAACGCGTTGGGTGTTCTAATGTTTTGAATCATTATCAATATTAAGATTTTTGGACTCTCAGACCTTTTTGGTTGGCCCTGTCCTTAGACTTTGCACACGTGAATCTGCAATTCTAGGGCCCCTGTTGGAGCGGCACCCCATTTTTGTTGAGAGCAGCCATACCAGATCCATTGTGCCACACAATCTGATTGATCTCCTGGTATTTTGATTACAGTACTTGACCAATGGCAGCAAAAATAACCAGCCTTCCAATGACTGCTTATTCTTAGCCACATGGCACAAGGAGGCCCACGCAGACTCTTGAAGTATCTATTACACTCTGATTTGTCTACAGATATTTCAGATCCAGCACTTGCCTTTGTTCACCTACGGCAGCAAAAAATACTCAGCTTTGCAGTGGCTGTTTCAGGAGGCCTGCGCAGACTCTAGAAGTATCCATTACGCTCAATGCAGTGGCGTGACACTAGCCATAGCAGCCCATGCAGCTGCTACAGGGCCTGGGGGGTGGAAGGGGGCCCCCATTAGGGATTGCAGAAGTTGCTGCTGACACTGGCCCTGTACCCGCTGTGACATGCCCCATCAAGAAGAGCTGACGTCAGATGTACAGGAGGAGACAACGCAGACAGCTGTCCTGCTACCTGACTTTCATTGACAGTAGGGAGGTCGCTGAGGGGCCCCATCAAAATTTTGCCATGGGGCCCCATGATCTAAAGTTACGCCCCTGACTCAATGACTATATATATATAGAAGTCTTGCCACTGGGAATTACAAGCAGGAGGATCACCCTGTCTGTGTCTGTCACCAATCCCAAATTCAGCGCTAGGGGATCGGCGGGAAAAAACAGTCACTGCGCTTAGAGAGCGTCCGGCCTTACAATATCAGGCGTCACAATGGCAGGATTAACCCTTAAAGGATTAGTAGCCCTAAAGCACAGGTTGCATGTATTAAGTAGGGGGGGGTG